AGGAAAGAGGAAGAATGCTCCATTAGGGGATTCACGTTGAATACACACCCCCAATTAAAATTGGACGTGTGTAATGTAATAAGATATGTTAGTGAACTGAAGGCATGCACGGTCAGATATGGTGAGTCGATGAGAGCATGTTCCCCGAATGATGATCCAAATAAGCGACTCAGTACTTTGTGATTACAAACAAACTTTAAAATTATTATTACCGAGTCAGTGCCATATTTTTGAAAAGATAATGGCTAATAACTCTAGGCCAGCTATAATACACAACACTGCAATACTTTATATTATTGTTAAAGATTGAGTGATGATCAGTTCTATTCCCTGCATATACCACCAACGTCTTTCCATGGGGCATGAGAACATTTGACCCAGTTATCATTTCCTTTGCACTGTCGGCAGTTGACAATGTCGAATTGACCCCGCATGTCCAAGAAATCAAACACTGTGTTGCGAGACCTGTACACAACTCCGTGACCTTGGCACTGCTTACACTTTGTATCTGCATTATGGCCATGAAAAATTGATTTACGTATGAACTTACTCGAATACTCTATCAACTGCAATTTTCATGCATGAAGCCTAGCACACATGCGCGGGTATGCTGCAGATGGCTCGCCCTTCTAACAGTTGACGCCCTGAATTCCTTCCATAATCGACGCTAGCGGAATGGAATGTATTTTGGCTAGTAAAATAATAGCTGGTAGCGCTACCTCTTGTGTTATATAGCTAGCTACACAGCTACCTTGAGGTTTTTCAATTACGGCGGTATTGTTGCTGGTGGACTCCCGTGAGGGTGTTTTCATCACCTTTTCAACCATCTCAGCGAACTTTCTGTTTTCAATTTTATTGGCCGCCTTGATGAGCTCTTTGTATGTGGCGCCGCTTCCCTTCACCACCTTCCATTTGTAGAGACAGGCGCGTCGTTGATCGGCGTATTCTCTCTCGCTGCGGCTAATGTCCTGTTCGTGGCCAGAGCTGAGTCCGAGATGAGGCCTCAGGGCCTTCCAGTCAAAAAAACCCTCTCGAGCTAGCACTTCCAAATGATCTTCCGTTGCCTCGCGCTCCATGTCGATTTAGCAGTGTTTCGTCTATGCGACCTCACCCATGCACAGGAACCCAAATGACAAGCATGCAGTTACTCTAAGGGATTTTCTAGAACAGCGCAGAAGACGGGAATACCTATTCATCTGCGCATGCGCACAGTTTTGTAGCGTGCGCAAATGCCTCAGAAACTGTGCCTAAATAAAAACCTGTCTCATATTTGCAGCCACCGCACTCCAAATGCTGCAAAAACAAGCCCAAGTTCAAGCTGTACTTGCGAAAATGTGTTCCTGCAGCTATCCAATTAGCAGTGCCAAAATCTTTCCATAAGTATAGCTACACATCCCTAATGCTTTGACTACAGTTGGAGTATGGAATAGTATACTAATACTATCTCACTACACGTATCCCTATCTAGCCACACTAATCCCTATCTCGCCTGTCCCTTTGCCGCTGCCGCTCCACCACCTCCACCTCCTATAAGGGTGTCAACGATTTTGGTTGTATATTGTTTGGGCGAGCGGAGCGAGCCCACCTAGTCGTGTCTTCGGATCGAATTTCTATCTATATACGAACGACGCACCGTCGTCGTCTTAGTGCGCATGCGTTAATATTACGTGCTTCTTATTATACGAAATACTGTGCGGAATTTTTTCTCCATTTTCTTACGATCCGCGGAGGATAGTGTTCTTCGTCGAAGAAAAACAGACAGAGAATCGTGTCTTCGGCTCGAATTTTCTATCTATGTATGCCCGGCCGTCGAAAGTCCTCGCGACAGAGAGGCTCGTCTTTTTCAGGGATGATTACGAGATCGCCAATTAGGGGTAGAAAAAGAGGCGTGGCTCCAGCAAGGGCCGGCTCTGGGGTGTGCATAATACGCATGCGCATAAGGTATAGCGTATATACCTTTTGGCACAGAGCTCATTTTCGATGAGACTATAGCTATAGTAATGGCTCCTCAGGCCTGCTCATACGCGAGA